TTGTAGTATTTTGTTGAGCTGAAGTGCTCACCACACAATTTACTCAGATTTTAACAATTTTACCATTGAGCTGATTCTAAAGCTAGGCATTCACGTTCCGACTTGCAGTCCCACTTGGTAGGACTAGTAGTTGGATATTCGTCTCCAATCACGCTCCGACTTGCTATCCAACTAGCGGTTCAACTTTGGTTCTAGTTTGTTTTCACCACAGTGTACATCGCTTAACCAAAAAATGTATCGAGTAAACACTACGCAAAATATAATTAGGAGCAGGAAAATTGCAGCATTGTACTTATTATCCTTATCATTAAAAAAAAAAGAAGAAAAAATGTTGGATGAAGAAATTATTTGTTGATCGTATGAACTATTGTGACACGAAATTGCTTAATGTCATTGATGAAGATGATTACAAAAACTAACTCAGAATGGACCACTTCACTTTTTCCCTGTTGCTGTAAATCTACTCATTTCCAAAAAAGATACCGTCATGCGTGAATGTGTCAGTACTAAACAACGCCTTGTTGCAATTTTACGTTTTCTGGCCACTGAAAGATCAATTGAGGATCTGAAGTTCAGCTATAAAATATCTCCACAACTATTGGGAAACATGATACATGAAACTTACACGGCTATAATAATTTTTCGTGCAATTGAAAGTTATTTTCTATTATTTGTTTGCGAACTAGGGATCTTTGCTCGGCGATGTCGGACAGACAGCACCAATTGAGATTTTGTTTGGAGCTGATGTTGTGCAAATTGTATACAGGGAGGAAATATCAGTTTCAAAGTTATCTTGTAGTAAGTTTACTATTTTAATTGGGAATAAGCCACAATATGAGTTATAAATTAAATTTATTTGACGTTTGGACTTCCACTTCGGACATCGTTATCAAAATATTTTAAAGTTAAAGTTGAAACGTCAAATAAATTTAATTTATAACTAATATTCAGGCTTATTTCCAATTAAAATTGTAAATTTGCGTAAGTTGCCACAAAAAATAACTACAGGACAATATAAAGAAACAGTTACTTCTAATTTCAGTAAAACTATCATTTAATTTTCGTTGTTTGTTGATAATTCTTCTGTAGTTAATCCGAAGTGTTGGAAATTGTGCATGTGTGGAACTGTTCAAAATAGATCTACAGAAAGGAAAATGATTTGGTCTAACAAAAAGTAGATGATGATGAAAGATGTGCGGTGGCCAAACTAATTATTTAATAACCCTCGGTAATCTTCAATGAGGGTGCGGATGAAACTTCTTTCTTAAGAGTCTACACAGAGCTCATACGATCTACATAAGCTCGACTACGGTAGCTTTGACTATTCCTCAGCCTCTCGATCTGACATAGGTTCATTAAACTCCGTTCACAATAGCGCGCTCCCTCTATGTCTAGGTATTCTTCGCTCTAGTGCTATCGAGAGCATGTACCGTCAATTTAATGAAGCTCCTCTCAAGCTAAGACGACAATTTCTTCTACTTTCGTATGCTGCGTCAACATCGGCAAATCCCTTTAATCCCGTTCATTTTCTAATTACCACAATGCCATCTATTAATAACAATAATAACAATATCCATTATCTTATCATAAAACTTAAACCTCAATTAATTAATTTCATCATCTTTAACAATCATGAATCTTCAAACATTCTTATAAAGAAAGCATTTTTAGAAATTATATAAAAGAAATCATACGATTTAATTATATACATATACCGATGCTTCTAAAACTATCACTGGTGTTGGCTGTTCAGTAACCACTAAACATGAATTTGTAAGATCATCTCGGTTACCCTTAATATACAGCGTTTACACAGGCGAACTATATAGTATTCTGTTGACTTTTAAATGATCCAATCAAAACAGATATATAGCCATTATTTTTCAGATTCCCTTTCATCTATCCATTCGGTCAATACAATTTTCCCTGGCCACCCATTGGTTCAAAACATTCATGACATATACCACGATATAACAGTCTCTCATATGGCTGCCCTTCTCATACTGGAATTACTGATAATGAATGAAACAGCAGATCTTTTCCCAAAGAAGCTACCAACCATAGTATTGGAGTTACCCCTATTCAACTAGCTAACGATCTTAGCTAAAACTCGTTTCAAAAAGTCAATAGAGGATACTTGAAAAAACTTCAATGGCAAAAGAGCAAAACAACTCTTCATAAAATTAAACCGTTCATTGGTCATCTCTCCCTAGACTTTCTAACTAGAAGAGAATCATTAATTATTAGAAAACTTCGAATTAACCACACCAAACTTACTCATGGTTTCTTGATGTCCTCTGGAACCCGTCCAACTCGCCACCATTGCAATATTTACCTGACTGTAAAACACATCCTCACCAACTGTAAACAATTCACAAACCTGTATAAAGCACTCTACTTGAAACCTACTCTTAAAGCAATCCTTAACAACCCTACAGAGATAACAAAAATTATACAGTTTCTAAAAACCACTCAACTCTACCACAAGGTTTAACCTAATAGACATTAGTTAAAATGATATAATAATTATTTGTTTTCTTCCCCTAAGCGGAAAATACACTCATCCTGGATATCTACGGTATAAAAAGGATTGATCTCTGATGGGACTCTTTCAATGTTATCGAGTCCTAGGTGACTGGTACGTCGGTGTATCTCCCAAAAATTATCGCACACTTTCTGGACGTCGAAAGTAGCACAGCTTTCTGCATGATCGTATATAGATGTTCATTTAGACCCAGATTTTTTATGTTTTCTACGAGGTTCTTCGGAATGACTCCAGTGGTAGAGAGAATAATAGGTATTGTCTGGGTACTTTCCATTTTCCACTGTCTTCGTACTTGAATTTCCAGATCCCTGTACTTGGCGATTTTTTTGTTCTATTTAACGCGAAGATTATTGTTGTTGAGTATCGCTACATCAATTAGTTTTGTTTGTTTCTTAAGTTTATTAGCTAGTATGAGATCTGGTCTATTATGCCACTGTTTGGTCTGTAAGAACAGTGCGATCCCAGTATAGCTTGTAGTTGTCATTCTCAAGTATACGTTCAGGAACGTATTGATAATATGGGAGATGGTTTATTTGGAGAAATCCCAGTTTGATGGCTATCTCTTGATGAATGATCTTTCCTATTGAGTCTTGCGGTTCCTTATATTCAGTTGCAGCAAATGCCTGGCAGTCCCTGGTAAGATGTTGGATGGATTTTTGAGCTTGACATCCATATCGCAATTTATAATTTTGGACCTGAGGGTCTTTGACGATATAAATTTTTGGTTGGTATAACCTGATCCTGAATGGCGAGAAACCGTCGAACCTTGAAACCTTCTGTTTCAGGGTTCGACGCTATATTGTCGACATGGTCGTGACTGACCTCATTTTATGCGCGTTTCTGGTTCTCTCAACCAAACGACCAATTTATACAGAGTTAGAAGACAAGTAATTGGGCGATACTTTGTTGGATCTTGTGTGTTATTTTAATCTTTTGGTATAAATAAGTTGTTCCCTGGGTTAGGTAAGATGGTATTTTCTGCGGATTAAAAATACTGTGATTAATTAATGCTGTTAAGCACTCATGAATACTTCAGATCTTCTTAAGCCAGAAGTTCTGAATGCCATTTGGTCCAGGGGATTTTCAGTTATGAGGCTTTCTGATAATATTTGAAACTTCTTCAATAGTGAAAGGTTCGTAGGTTCGTAGGGAACAGTAGGGAACAGTTGGCAGTTGTGTGCCGAATCTTCGATCCATCCAGCATTGGTGTTGAGCTGCAGAGCAGCTGGTGTGAAAAGTTGATTTCCCAAAACTTATGGATTTCTTCTTGGCTTTCTTCTTATGGTGCCTATTCGTTACGGATATTGGACACTAACATGGCTATTCTGACTTTGTTGACTGCTGCCCTGAAAAGTACGGTAGTGGTTAAGTTCAACCATTTTCGCAGGTTATGCAGCCAGGATATTTTTCTCCGTCCTGGACCTCTTTTTTCCCATGCACTTTACCTTGAAGTATAGTCCGAAGTAGGTCATATCGTTGTTCATTGCGCATTATATGGCTTAGGTATTCTAGTTTGCAACGTTTTATGGTTACGACTAGTTCGCGCTGTTTACCCATTCTATTTGGTACTTCTTCGTTGGTAACTCTGTCTATCCAGGAAATCCTCAACATGCGTCTATAGCACCACATCTTAAATGCTTCGAGTCTCTTCAGTGATGCTTCAGTTAGAGTCCATGACTCCACGCCATATAAAAGAACGGAAAAGACGTAGCATTTTAGTAAACGAACTTTTATTTCCAATTGTATGTCGTGGCTGTTAAAGATTTTTTTCATTTTGACGAAAGCTGATCTTGCCTTCTCGATCCTTATATTAATTTCCGTCGATTGGCCCCACTGTTCATTTAACTTTGCACCCGGATAACAAAAGTTATCAAAAAGTTTATTATATTATTTATTATATTAATATTATTATATTATATTAAAGCTTTAAAGCTTATTATATATTTATTATTATTGTTTCTGTACCAATGTTCATAGTTGTCGAGGTATTTTATATAAATAAAAAAAATATTATTTAAAGCAATAAACAATTTACACTACATTTGATTATTGTACTATTCTATGGATGTTGATCTTTTTTCTTTTTTTGCTAATAGCTACATAGGCTGTTGCGAGTTTGTATAAACTAATGATTTAGGAAAAATTTAAGGGAAAACGAGGTATAGTAAGAAAGAAGAAATTTTGGCTTAGGAATATAAGAGACTGGACCAGAACAGAACTGAAGGACTGGCCCCCAACCTCAAGAGACATACAACATTATGAGAAGGAGCTGATTTTATTAAAGTTGGACAAACTTTTATATAAAATAAAATCCTAATCAATATTTTTATAGTAATCTTATAACGAATTTTAAAATGCAAAAATATCTACACCACCACTGGCAACGATCAATAAAGTGAAATATCTTCGCCCGCAATTTTAATTTATTTTTTGTACATTAATTGGCAAGGTATAAGGGGAAGTGGGGAGAAGTCGAGTGCGTTTAAAACTGTTGTTAATTTAACTTTATTTCTAGTCCACCATCCAAGTTCAACTATTCGAATTGTTCTAGTTATAGGTGGGTGTCAACTTTTCAAACTTTGTGACTGTTGTGATAATTTATTACATAAGGAAGTCGAGAGGAACCTCTGTGTTTTGTGTAATAAATTTTAACTTTTGTTGCGTTTGTGTTTGTGTTTTATAGTTTTTTTTTGAAGATTACATACATGTTTCATATTACTTTTATAACATTGTTGTACATTTTAGTTATATTTGATAATTTATTAAATTATTTTGATTTCATTCTGTTACTATATTACTCATCATTCTTTAAATTTACTCCTGGTTTTTGTATTAGTTATCAAATGTCATTTTTAAGGCAGTTTCGTTTTTTAGCACAAAATAATCCATATAAACTGCAATTTTTGGACTATTTTTTCATTTGAATGTATTTATACTATTTTGAGAGTGAGATTAACCATTCGCTGATCATCAAATTTAAAGAATATCCTGTTCTTTTTCTGTTCTCTCTGTATTTATTTTCTGTATTCCTATAGTTTTTCATATTTGAACGGTTTAAATTTTCTTTTAATTTTTTCTTTTTATTTTTATTCCTTTTAGCATTTCTGGTATAGCTGCCGGTGTTCCATTTGTACATTATCATTAATTCTCTAGAAATAACAGTTTGACTCTCTCCAGAACATTCTCTTAATTTTTATAAATGTTCTTGGAAAAAAGATTTGTGCCTGGGATTTTTCATAATTTTCATTTTAAATTTTTGTGCAGATTTTACTTTTTTAACTTTGGCCATTTCTGGTATAGCTTTTGGCAAGCTATGTATTTGTGCATTATTATTAATTGTTAATCGCATAGTGAATGGACTGAATAAATAATAGTTTAATAAAGGAATAATAATTTAATATTTTATTCTGGAAATAATATTTTCTTGGATCCACCACATTCAAACTTTCCACATTATTTTTAGAACAAATATGTTATTCATTTTTTCGTCTTTTGGTATCCTACTTGAGTATTATCATTTACTGTTATCGCAATGTGCATGGGCTGAGAAATAGCATTTTGTTGGTTTCCAGAATACAATCTTATTTGGTCATTCTAAATTTTTCTTTATTTTCTTCTTTCCACTTTTATCTATTATATAAATCATATAGCTCCATGATGGAGCAAAGGCCACTAAGTGTTTCAGTGGCAAAAAAAAAATTGATGGTAAGTTTGCTAGCCTCACGCATCATTGCATGAGTCGCGTCCAATTTTATTGACTCTCTTCTATTCCTTGCAATATTATTTACTACTTCATGTTCTGTCAACTTGTTTTTCTAGCGTTCTCTTCCATGTAACTAGTGATCTTCCTTGTTTTCTTTTACTTGGTAGGCTATAGTGTAAGGCTTGTCTGGTTATATTTGGCCGTGGTTCCTGCAACGTGTGACCTATCCGCTTTTTTTGCTATTTTCGCTTTATTGTTATTCGTTATTCGCAACAGTTTTTCATTTGTGATTGTGTCTGATATAAAAATATGTTATCCGTAGGTATCATAAAAGGTAAATAGCATCCTTGTCTCACTCCTCTATCTATGGAGATTGTCTCTGTCAACTGGTAATCCACTTTAATGTTGACAGTTTGGTTGTAATATAAATTTTATATAATTCGCAAGACTCTATCATTCAAGCCCACTTCTTTCAAGATAATCCTATCATGTTTTACTCTATCAAATGCCTTTTTGTAGTCGATAAAACAAATATATACATCACAGTTGACATCTCTGCACCTCTGGATAAGCACTTCTATAGCGTATAGAGCTTCTCGGGTACATAAGGTATCGCGGAATCTAAATTGTGTCCATGACATTTGTTCTTCACATTTTTTATATAGTCTGTTATCACTTTTAAAAACGTTTTAAGTAAATGGCTCATTAGGCTAATTATTCTGTACTCTTCGAAGGTTTTGCATTTAATTTTGTTGGTATAGTTACGAAGACCGACTTTAACTAGCTTTGGGGGATATTTTCAGTCATATATATTTTGTTAAATGTAGTCGTTATCCATTGTATTCCTTATTCGTCCATAAGTGTAAGGAATTCTGTATAAAATTTGTCAGGCCCTACAGCTTTGAAATCTTTAGTTTTTCTAATAGCTGCCGTGACTTCTCCAATGGTAATCGGGGTTACTGTTTTGAATTTTATGTCTTCAGTGGCAATCTGTTTTTCATCTGCAAATGTTACTTCCACATATTTCTTCCCAGTCTCTCTTCCGCACTTAGTAGTAGATTATCTTGGTTGTCCGCCAAACTCTTCTAGACTTGTATAAGCCTGCAGCTTCTTCAACTTTTTTGTGCATATTGAAGAATCGTGTTTTTGTTGTAATAGCTGTGTTTTCGCACATTGTTCTCTCAGCTGTGTCCTTAACGATTCTAATTGCTTTTTTGATCTCTTTCTCTATTCTTTTGTATAATTTCTTTTCCTGATCTTTGACCTTTCGCGTCTCTTACATTTTATCTAGAATCTCATTTGTCATCCACGATTTTTCTTAATTTTTGGTGGTTTGAGGAATTTTTCTTGTATGTCTTGTGCATTTATATGCAATTTTTCAAACTCCTGGTCTATTAAATCAATTTCAATAACGCTATTCAAATTGTTATGTATATACTATTTTATACTCTGTTCTGTGCTTTGGTCTTTGAGTAGCCTGATGTCGTATTTTGGGTAGGCACTACGTCGAATTTTCTTTAACCTGACCCTCATTTTGCAAATCAGTGGGCTGTGGTCTGACTTGATATCGGCTTCTAGGGATGTAATGCTGTTACAGAATCTTTTATTTATCATAATGTAATCTATTTGATTTCTGACTATGCTTCCTGAAGTATCTTGAGGTAATTTTCACGTGTATAATCTTCTGTATGGGAGTTTGAACTAAGTGTTAGTAATTTATAAACTCTTCTTTTGATACAAATTCACCGATTGAGTCTCCTCGTTCATTTCTTCCTCCAAGCCCAAACTGTCCTATGAATTCTTTCGATTGTCCCCTACCAATCTTGGCATTTAAATCGCTCATTATCAAGGTTAGATCCTTTTTGGGAAGGAGTTTCAAGGTGTTGAATAGTTAATTATAGAATGCTTTACTTATGTCGTCTGGTTTGTTAGCTGTAGGGGCATATACCTGAATAATTTTAGTTGTTATTGGATAGGTATCAAGTTGAAGAAGGAGCATTCTTTCCGATATGGGTACAAAGATTTTTATGATGTCTGGCAGTTTCTTGATTTAAAATTATAACTAATTCACTCAACTATTACATGTAATTATTTAGGGGAAAATAGAAGGAAACGTGGAACTGAAGTGAACTGAACACGTGGAAAAATGTTCTGGTACAAGAACCTGCGCTATGGAATAACAATGACACAATTACAATATTTAGGTCCGCTGCGGACAAAGTAAAATTCATGCGATTGGTCACCAATGTCCTTGGAGGACCAGGCACTTAAAAAGAAGACAAGTACAATAATAACTAGATATAGAACAAAAAAGAAACAAATAATCTATTTAATACTGATATCATAATCAAAATTGACTTGGCAATACAAATGCTGTTAAAAACACGACCTTAATATTTTTACTAAGTTAAGGCCGTTGTCAACAGAGAGTCATTCAGAAGACAGTCACACTAACTCAAGATAACCAGCCGTGAGATTAAAAATTCAATACTGGTTATCGTCAAAGTTTTACAAATGCATCAGTCGATAAATTTTTACTTTTCCTATGTGTTGAATACGATTTTTAAAATCAGTTTTGTTAAGTATTCAAATAAATTGTCCACTAATCATTAACGTATTATTATGAAGAAGTAGGTAAAATTCTAATCCAAGAATATTCTTTCTTTTCCTTGATTTAGGTAAAAGAGTGCGTCTGGTACTTGGCCATAATATCTTTCTAAGGAACCTTTTCTACTAATTGAAGTCCACCAAAAAGGCATTTACTCTAAAAAAAAAAATCCGCTAGTAGCTACTACGGTTACAGTTACATCTAAGGTTCCAGTTTTAGCGTTAGATCGGTTGTAGTTCCTTCTCTTAAAATTTGGTGTCCCTATGATTGGAATATTTGGATTATTACCTCTATGAAAGGATTCACTTTAGATTTTCTTCATGATCATGATTGTCTTGGGTTGCTTGCTTTATTGGTATTTCTTTGGCTCATAGTGTTCGCAGTTCGCATAGATTTTCAAAACAATCTTCGTTTCAAATCTTCGACCATCAGTCCTTTATTCAATCATTCCTTGGACTTCGGAATCGTTTCAGAAAAGAGTCGCTTGTCCAGGTAGTTCTTTGATCTTTGGGAGTCACTTTTACTTCTTTGGTACTTATTGGAGAAGTTTCCTAACTTCCATCACTACAATCTTTGGGGAGGAAGATTTATCTTAAATATATTTTTTTATCTTCGGGAGCACTTCCTTTCGACTCAGTTAGATTAACAGTTTCAGTCATATCGGTTATTCCTTCCGAAGCAGTGTTCCTTCATGGTATATTGACCTTCTTATTACTAACACTTTTTTTCAGAAGCCAGTCCTACTAAAGCCAAATGTGCTTATTTTTTATGTGCATTTATGTGCATGTTTATTGTGCCTAGTCTGGTGGATGGGTACCATATGTTTTTGAAGTCACTTGGTAGTCTCTAAAAACTGTTTGCTTATGAAAAATATTGGCGACTGTTTGAAGTTCTTCATGAAACAGACGCATTGCATGCAGATATTAGCGCACGTCCGTTGAATACACATCTTGCCATGCCCTTGAGCGGTTATAAATGTAATTTCCCATTATGAGTAATGTTATGTTCGGACCAGGCTTTTTCGCGGCCAGGAACGGTGATTTTTGGCACTCCTAGACCAAAGTATTTTGTAATATTATTCTGCAGCTATTTTCTTTTTGGCATCTTAATGTGATTTACTATTTTTGGTGAAAATAAGCCACAATTTTTACTTTGGAAATCATTCTCAAAATACAAAACTAGTCAAAAGATTTACTATTTTTGTTGAAAATAAGCCAAAATTTGACTTTACAATTAAGTTTATTTCATGTTTTGATTTCTGATCCGCTTATAGCTCCTGAGAGCTCCATAGCCTCTTGACTATCTGAGTATATACTGATCCACTTAAGTTGAAAAATCCTCGTCTTAATTTTTCTTGCACAATTTAAGATTACATAAACATTTTGATCTCTTGAAAAGCATCAGCGAGATATGTGATGTACCTCCGTATTTTATGTGATAGGAATACAAATTTTTTTGTAGCTCTGTTGGAAAGGAAGCTCTTCTTTAGTCCCACATTTTTTGATTTTTATTAATTTTATCCTTTCTGGCAAATGAGTAAAATTTTCGTACCTAACGATCTTTCAATCTAAGTATAAGTCCTAAAGAAAAAAAGAAGGCCTAATTCCTCCAATATACTGAATAAACAATTATTTTTGGATAAGAAATTGCAATACAGGTATTGATAAGGTAAAATATGCCTTTAACTCACAAAAACGTTGACACCAAGTAGGATTTTTCTCTGTGGTTCTATATCAGATTTAGTCCTTTTAAAAATATTTTTATATCATTTTTAAAACAAAAAATTATTTATTACATAATTTCCAGTATTTCTGAAATAACATGGCCGATGAAGGAGACGACTGGTTCGGAGGTGGAGATGATGACGCACCCCCAGCACCAGTCAAATCACTCGTAAAGAAAGGTAAAGAGGAGGAAGCAGCCCCTGCAGCAGCGGAAGAAGCACCTGCCGAAGGAGAAGCTCCTGCAGAGGGAGAAGCTGCCGAGGAGGAAAGACCAGAAGCCGAAGAGGAATACTTAGATCCCGACAAACTGATATTGTTCAAACACTGGATTAGGTAAGTAATTTACATGAATTACATAGGTATATATATATATATATATATATATATATATATATATATATATATATATATATATATATAATATATATATATATTATATATATATATATATATATATACATGACTTATTTTTGTGAAAATAATGGTTATTATTGTTTTTTATCTTTTAAACTTAATTAATGCAAATTCCTTCATGTTTTCGCAATCAGGCAATGTGCCACACGATTGGGTACATTTAAATCGACATATATTTAGTAATGCATCGTCTAACGAGGTAATTACTATTTTACATAATTAGAGTAACTGAATTCTCCTAATATTTAATTGGGCACAAAAATAAATTGAGCTTTATTAAACTCTAATTAATATAAAACTCAAAACTATTATCAAGACGAAGCTATGACTACAGTTGAGTAGTAGATTGTGTACTAAGACACTGCAGAAATAGAAAAGTTTGGTTTGGCCATAAAAATATTAAAAATATCAACCGACAATAAATAAAATTACCCAAGGTACGAGATTGACCCATCATATAGAAGCAGGCCCTACAAACGGATGCCTTCCTGTTATTCTGTGTACACTATTCCATTCCTCCTTACCTTCCGTCATCTTCGCGATCATCTCTCTTACAGTCACAGGGTTCATAATTATTTCTCTACACATTCTGTTTCTCTTCAAAGCTATGATTATAAGCCCTAAAACACCCGTGTCCTGTGAGCACTTGCGTCAGGAAGTAATCCAGTAAACCTGTGACGACAGTCCACCCAATTTCTTAGGCTCGGGATCAGGTAGTCCACTGGGAAACATCTTATATTTATGTTTAGACAGCATTTAGAATGTTAATTGAAGAAGTTTTTTAGGTTTGACATATTGCACTGTAGACCTAAAATATCACTTAGTTTGTTGGGCAACATATGCTTTGGCGTTAATGCAGGACATTGCTCTAATATTTGTGTGATTGTTAATTTTTCTTTACAGTTGTCACATCTTGGTTCCTGTTGGTTGACTCAGTTGGACCCGCTTTAATATTACTTGGTCTTTCCGACTAGTTTGTAATGTGGGCCCGAATTTTATCGATTTTTTACTATCGCATATCTTGTCCGATGACACTTTTCACTTTTCTTCCCATATATATCGCACTTTACGTTTGACCGCAGTTTGTGTACTGCGTTCACACTCGTAAATGTTTCAGTACACTTCACACTATCACTAGTTGCAGCTTTTTTTGCAGCGTTGTCTGCCTCTTTATTTCCTTCAATTCCAATATGGGACGGTATCCAGAAGAATATAATATTTTTTCCATTCAGTTGAGCGGTATGAACTTTTTGTTTTATCTTGATGACTAAAGGATTAGTTGGGTAGATATATTGGATTGACTACACGGAACTTAGAGAGTATGTGAATATAATATAATTGGTATTATTGGATGCGTTGATAGCAAGGGTGGCCTGATATAGATCGTATAGTTCAGCAGAGTAAATGCAGTACTCTGAAGGGAGTTTGTATTTATTTATCGATGTTGGGGTTATGACTGCAGCATCAATACCTTCATTTGATTTAGATGCATCTGTGTACATATGTGTATGGGGTGGGTTAGTCACTGAGGGTTCTTTATTTGCCATGGATACATTGAGAACGATTGAAAGAGAAAGCATTCTGATAACGTGTAGTTTATTTGATCTAAGTAGCTTCTAATCCTTTTGAAGAAGAGTTTGGCCGTTCTTGGTTTATTTATAAAGAGATTTGGGAACTTTTCTGTACAACAGTTTTGAATAGTAGGGTTTTTTGAGTTAGATCTGATTTTTGCGGCATGTGCTGCATTTAAACAAAAATTGTCTGTGTTCTAGGAACGGTTTAATAACTTCACAATAAATACTTTCAATTGGTGTTGTACAAAAAGCTCCATATATTATACGTAAAGAGAGATTGTTAAGACTGTTAGGTTTTTTTAGTAGTGTCTTAGTGGCTGTAGATTACACAGTAGATCCATAATCTATCTAATATATTAATGTTCTGTATAACATCAAAAGTGTGGCGATCCGCACCCCATTCTTTATTGGCCAGATTTTTTAGAAGATTTAATCGCTTGTGACAAGATAAGATCAGATTTGTTATATGAAGTTTCCAGCTTAGAGTTTCTTTAAATGTCATGCCCAAGAACTTTATTGAGGTTACACGTTTTAGGTCCTCATCACATAGTCTTAGTTGGGGGTGTTTGTGACATTTTTCTTAGAAAACAGGATGAAACGAGTTTTTTCAGTGAAAAAACAAAAAACTTGTTTTTTGTGACCAGAATTCTAAGTGTTGTATAAAATTCTGTGAGTGACAAAGTATATTTTGTATATTTTTGCCTTTGCAAAAAATTACAAGATCATCCGCGTATACTAGTGCCTTTGTGCTGGTTGATTGTTTACTGAACCAGTGGATTCAAATTTATCCACCATACCGCGAATTTTCCTCTCGGTAGGACGATTATGACGACCGCAAAATGGAACATTTTACTGGTATATCAGACATTGACTGGTATATCAGTCAATGTAGCTTCAAATATATAGCCGCTATTAACTGTCAAACTTTGGAAGTCCCTGTTGGAACATCCTGTAGATAGTTTGTCGCAAAATTGCTGGATCCTTCTAAGGGAAGTTAATTAAAGGAAACCTTTGTGGAAACACAAAAATTCCAGTGATAATCTAATAGTGTTATTGTGCTAACAAATCTTTTATTTTGACAGTATTCTTCTTCTTCTTCTTTCTTGTATGTAAGCTTTAAAACCTGTTTCTTCTTCAATATTAGCCTTAGCCTTATCGCATTATCTTCTTCTTGGTCTACCAATACTTATTTATCCATTTGGTGACTTATCCCGTGTTATTCGTACTATCCTATCCTCTGACATTCTACTAATATGTTCGTTCCACTTCTGATTCCGTTTTGTCACCCATTTTAGACGTCCCGTTTTAGATGTGTCAGATCTTGTCTCCGCCGTGTATGCTAATATAGGTCTAATTGCTGCTTTATAGATTTTTGTTTTTGGGTCTTGTCTTAGGTGCTTGTTCTTCCAGATTGTGTCATTAAGAAATACCGCCGCTTTACTTGCTTTTAAGCTTTGTTGTCGTACTTCTCCTTTAACATCTCCGTAACTAGTTATATCTATTCCCAGATATCTAAACCTTGTTTCCTGCTTTATTATTTTCCCATCAATTTCGATTTTACATCGTAGTGGATATTTAGATGTTGTCATACATTTGGTTTTTTCTGCCGATATTATCATATTGTATTTCTTGGCTGTTGTATTAAAGATATGTGTTAATAAAAAAAAGAGAAATTATACGATTTCTACCTGGCGAAATCTAATTCAAATATCAGCCACCGTGCTTCCTAAAACTTACGAAGTAAACAGCTTGATACATAAATCGGCAAGGGAATCTAAAAATTGCATTCCAAATGCCGTTCATCATGGCCAATATTCGTATTGAAGTCGATTTCTGCTACTCCAAACGAAGTAAAGAAATATATATACGGCTATACCGTACTGAGGAAACCTAAAGAGGTCGAAATACGTATATGCGGCTTGTCGCTGCTCTGTATCGAATCAAAATCTAATACCGTCATTGTTTTATATTATGTGTTAATCTTTGGAGCTCGTTTTCTGTCTCGGCGATTAATGTGGCGTCTTCTGCATAATATAATATTTGGATTTCTTTGTTCCCCATTTTGTAACCATGAACTTTAAGTAATGCTTGTATTATTTTACAATCGTTACTGAAATTATGCTTTTTTCTTTATTACGGAAGTACTTCTTTATTATCAATTTAAGTCATAACAGTATTTTTTTACTTACTGTACCTATAATTTACTAAAGCCTTTTAATGTACATTCTTAACATTCGCGATGTTTTCTTTGTTGTCTAATTATTTTTTAAACGATCTTATTATTAACACAATATCTAAACACCTTTTTATATGAAAATAGAATTGAACATCGCTTAAAATATATACATCTATATTAATAATACTTTTGGGTAATTAGCTAATCGGGTTAACATTGTTTACTTCAAGAGTTTGGTCTATTTTAAAAATATTTTAAAGTTTTATTGCACACCTGTTCTACATGCCTAATCGTATGACTAAAAAACTATTAATATTGGTCTGACAGTGTTTACTCGTGGTATTTCAATTTAATCAAATTAATATCTCGTTCCACCCGCTTAATTTATACTGACAATTTAAACATAGTACAATACTTTTTAATGTGTAGGACTTTCCAGTGCTAGTTGTTCCCCAATCGCATTCATGATAAATATTTATAATTGTCTTACTTAAGTTTTTTTCTAATTGATGGTAACATCCTGGATTCTTCTTCTTCTTCGGGTTCCTTCTCCTAGCGGAGGTTGGAAATCATCATCGCTATTTTAACTTTGTTGGCCGCATTTCTGAATAATTCTAATGAGCTGCAGCCGAACCACTCTCTCAAATTTCTTAGCCAGGACATTTTGCGTCGTCCTGGGTTTCTCTTCCCTTGTATCTTCCCTTGCATAATCAACCTCAGTAATACGTACTTCTCACCCCTCATTGACTGCTTTATTGTCCACGCTTCCATGCCATATAGTAAAGTAGAGAAGACGTAACAACGTAGCATTCTTGTGCGAATCTCTAGATTAAGGTTACGGTTGCAAAGTAATTTCTTCAATTTTATGAACGTGTTTCTTGCCATTTCTATTCTAGATCTGATCTCCTTTACTTGATCTCCATCTTCGGTTAGCCACGTTCCTAAATATTTATATGTTTTTACTCTTTCTATCGTTGTATTATTGATGATCAGGTTATTTACATTTTGTGGTTTTTTTGAGAATATCATTGATTTCGTTTTCTTGAGATTCATTTGTAGTCCGTAACTTTCACATGCATTGTATACATGTTGTATTATGTACTGTAGATCTTCCATGTCACTTGCAAATATGACAGTATCGTCGGCATATCTAATATTATTAATGCTAT